CTCGAGTTCGCCAGACCAAAAGGTGCGTCAGGCTGGCAGCGAGAAGAAAGATTGCCAACAGAGTAGTGGCGCAAACGAAGACGAAGAAGTAACGATAGTTGCGGCGACCGACGCAATTGTTGAGCCAGACGCAATGGTGATCTTGGGTCTCAATGCAATTGTCGCATACGCGACAATGGTGAGCACGTGGAGGGCGCCAGATGTTGCAACTTTTGCAGTATTTGGTCGGCACCTCCATGGCGGCGTTAACACCAGTCGCGGATACTACCATTGTCCATTCGGTTGTCGGGGGACCGAGGCTCAGTGGGTCGTCATTAGGATTAGGCGGGGGAAAAGGATGAAGATTCCGCGGAAGTATCTAGCGGGGTGTTAGCGACACTGGACGCCAAAAAAAAGGACTGTGGTACATACTCCGGGATCTGAAGCAGATGCATGTAAGAAAGAAGACACGGAAACGAGAAGCAAGTACGCAAAGAGAATGGGTATCGCAGGAGAAACATTAAGCCAGAGCCAAGGCGCGCTATTGTACACGTTAGCGGAAACGAAAGCAGTTGGCAAGGGAATTGGACGTACGAGAAACCGAAGAAAAGGCAAGCTGGCAGAATTATAAGTATGGCTGTCGCCACGTTGACAGGCCTGTCGCGCGTGTTCTGCAGCCGACCGCCCCAGCAGAAAGCCGTGTTTCCGGAAAAGTACTGGTAATTTTTACCCAGCTCCCTCTTGACTGCCTCTTTGGTGGCCTCCTTGCGCGCCAGTCGAGGAGACGGCTCGGCAGACGTGAGTTTCTCGTGGCCTTGATGGGGGCGTATTTGGTTTGAGCGGCCCTCGCGACTGGAAATCATGAAGCTAGAACGAAAGGAGCGCGGAGACTTGCTGGGAGCAGGAGGGTTCTTGCCAGCGTCGTGGCTGTGGACGTTGGCCAGGTTGAGGTGCTGGGGTCGAGGACGCTGCAGAGGCGTGATGCTCTCGCCATGGCTGCGCACAGTTTCTGCGCCGGTGGGGGTCGAGTTGGCCGTGGTGCGGTCGGGCATGTCCCTGTCGGTGATGTCGGTGCCGCGCGAGGGTGGAGGCTGCAGATCCTCTTCGTGGTGGAGGCCCAGCGTCATGACGCCGCGGTTGGTCTGGGTGGAGCCGGTGCTGGAGCGGTAGGGATTGGAGTTTGGCTCCAGCGCCGTCTCTGAGTACAGAGAGCTGTGGCCGAGCAGCGACGTGGGGCGCTGGTTGCGCTGCTGCTGCAGGCGCTGGGAGCTCATGGGGCGAAAGAAGCCGTGGGCAGCGAGGGGGACATGGGTTCTGCTGGCCGCGGTCGTGGGACGGCTCTGGTGGTTCAGGCTGCCCGAGACGCTGATGCCGCCGCCTCGTCGCGCCGGGCTGGCCTGCGACCATCGGTTCTGGCTGCCCGAGTGCGCGGTGGTGATGGACGAGGGGCGCGATGGTGGCAGGCCCGGCTCGCCGGCAGGGCCCGTCATGCCCAGCACGCGGCTGCCGGTCGAAGAGCGCTTTTGCTCGGTCGGGGTCATGGCCATGGTGTTGATGTCGGTGGCGCCGCTCTTCTCGCTGCTAGCAGCATGACAACATGGATGGCGGGAAGGCGCGGCCGGGGGATCTGGGGGAGGGAAGGAGCGACTGCGAGTGAGGCAGGAGCGAGTGGGCAAGGCGAGACAGAGGGAGCGGAGCGGAGCAGCGGCGGCGGCGCCGGGGCCTGAGGGAAGCTGGATGGACAAAGACGTGTGATGAGCGGCGAAAGGGGCGCATAAACTTCGTCGTGGACGTCGCCGCGCCCCCGAGCGCCCCCAGGCTGCAAGCGGCATGGTGCCCTCGGTGACGCAGCCGCGACGCTTGGCATCGCTGCGAGATTCAACATCGAACCACTGCTGCTCTCTGCACCCACCGCCAGCACCACCAGCACCACCACGACTCCATTGGAACCCACCATGTCCTCCATCATCGCCCGCTCCTCCTTCCGCGCCGCCCCGCGTCTCCTTCGCCCGGCCCCCGCCCTCCGCCGCTGGGCCACCAGCGCCGCCGCAGAGGGCGAGAGGCAGCGCAGCAAAGACGCCCTCAAGACGGGCGCAAAGCGTGATCCCGAGCTCTACGTACGCCATGCACCCGCCCGCCCGCCGTGTTTGTCTGCGGTGCAAGCAGAGCGATAGCTGATTGGACTGTAGGTGCTCCTGGCCATCATGAGCGGCATCTTTGGTCTTGCGGGATGGCATTTCTGTAAGCGGCATGCCCACACGGTGCACCCACACCATACCCTCTGCACAGCTACTTACATCTCTCCCCGCAGCCCGCTCCCCCACCAGCGCTTCTTCTGAGCGAACGGTTGCCAAGGCTTCCGGCAGTGAGCCCTGGAACCGTGACGATATCAGCCACAGCCCTTACCAGTACCACCCTGGCGGCGACACCAGCGTTAAGAAGGACGCTCCTTCGGCCCTCAACGTTGTCGTCATCCCCAACGTCACCCTCCCCAAGGTATGCATCCAATTGCTGGCCAATTGCTCTGAATTGTTTGTGCTGACTGTGCAGGAACTCCACGACACCTACAACAAGTGGGGCAAGGACGGCTACTAAAAATTGCAGCAAGTTCCGAGACGCTCGCTTGGAGCCGAGAAAAAAACGCCGCTCACGGGCGAGCTGCGCATTTCCGCCATCTTCATCATGCGTCTGTGTACATAGGACTGCAAGGGGGTGGCTCGGCATAGAATATTGGAATATCTCCATCACAGCCCTGTTTTCTACAAACTAATCGTTGCACACACTACACGGTGTCACAGATACCCAATTGGCTTACGCGTGCCCTGAATTGATTCCAGTCGCTGACTAAAGTCCTTCTTCTCCTTTGTCTTTTTTTCCTGTCGCTCCCAGAGTTTTTTCCTCGCTCGAACAGACAACAAACACCATTCCTCACCTTCCATCTCATCCCATGCGAAACGAATCGTCTAAACCATGGATGCGCTTTTGTGGTCGTAAATCATTTCTTCTATTCCATGATCCTGCTTTTCATAACAGTTGTCCTCCTCTTTTCCTCCATTTCCTTGCGTCCACCGGGACATGAGACGAATGAAAAGGAGTCTATGGGTATCTTTTCGCGCGCGCCGTCATACCGGGTGTCCTTATTCTTTGCATGGGCTCCAGTTGCGCCTCACAGTCTCTTTCGGATCTCCTCCACCATGTTACTCCGGTCGACCAGCAACCCATCCTTTTCCGGATTGTTCTCGTCCTTGATTCCCATAACCTTGATCTTGACTTTGCCATCCTTGAGCTCATCCTCTCCCAGAATGACTGTAAGCGGCACGCCTGCGACCTCGGCTTGCTTGAACTGTTGCTGAACCTTGGGCTTAAGCTTGTACGAAAACTCGGCCTTGATGCCTGCAGCCCACAGCTCTTGTGCGACTTGCATGCGCTCCTTGAGCATGCCGTTGAAACCCTTGCCGCCAAATGCCATGACAAACGCATCCACATCCTTGGCGCGCTGTGTCGATTGGCCGCGTGCCTTCATGATGCTGATGATGCGGTCGATACCAAAGGAGATGCCGACACAAGGAATAGGCTTGCCACTGAACATGCCCACCAACTGATCATAACGGCCACCTGCAGCCACGCTTCCCACGCCAACCTCTTGTTGCTTTCCTTTTCCGGTTGGGGCTGAGCCTTCTGTGACAACCTCGTAAATCAGGCCAGTGTAGTAGTCGAGACCTCGCGCAAGCGAGAGGTCAAATGATATCCTCTTGCGCGCACCAAAAGCATCCAGGTATGCGAATAGCAGTTCCATCTCTTCAACACCTTTTTGTACGTCTTCCGACTTGGAAAGTTCTTCGTTGCTCTTGAGATACTCAATGATGTCGTCGCCGCCCTTGCGTTGTACCCATTCACCAATCTTGTCTGCGACTTCTGTGGCAAGGCCTTTGGTCTCCATCTCCTTCTTCACCTCTTCCCACGGCATCTGTAACGTGTCAGCGACCTCCGATAAAACCTCAGACATTCTCCTTACCTTGTCCAGCTTGTCCACTGCCGAGCTAATTGGACGAATCAACTCCTCCTTCACGCCCGCCGCCTTGAAGATACCATCAAGAATCTTTCTGTGGTTGATCTTAATAGTATATGACTCCCACTCAAGCGCATCAAAAACATCAGTTGCAATCTTCAGCACTTCCGCATCGGGAATCATAGCATCGTACGACCCCGCAATATCGAAATCGCACTGGTAAAACTCGCGCATGCGACCCTTTGTCATGGCGGGTTGATCGCGCCGATAAACCTTGGCAATCTGGTACCGCTTGAAGCTCTGCACACTGGGGTTCATTGCGAGCCACCGGGCAAGTGGGACGGTCAAGTCGTAGCGTAGCGAGCAAAGCTCGCCGCCCTGGTCTTGCAGGTCATATATGAGTTTTGAGTCTTCGCCGTATTTGCCGCTCAGAATCTCCTTGAGCTCGAACACGGGCGTGTCGAGTGTCGTGGCGCCGTGGCGCTTGAAGACATCGGTTACCGTCTGGAAAAGGCGATCGCGGAGTGCGGCATCTTCGCCGGTCCCTGGGGTGGTTGTAAGTATAGGGCATTGAGGACAGGTACCCCTCCAAAAAGAGAAGAGAAGAAGAAGAAGACGACGACTACTTACAATCCCGCGTGCCCTTTGGCACCTTGAGAGTAAAGTTCTTGCCCTTATCTTCCTTGCCCATTTCGTCGTCACTCAGCGACCAAGTTTGTGTGGAGAGCCTACGGTGGGGGGTGGGGGTTGCAGAAAGGCGTACGCGGTGGAAAGCGGTTGTTTGTGTGAATTTGCGCGAGGCAAAAGTAGCAGTACTATATCGCAGGGCGTCTTGTCGTAGTATGAGCGCGGGGCAGGCAAAGTGGGGTGAAATGCGCGGCATGGACTGGAAATAAAAAAAAGTGACTCAATTCGCCAAAGAGCAAAGCGGCCGCCGCCGTTTGGAAAAGATTCGGGTCTGCACGTAGATTGGTCCGTGCTTGTTTACGTCACTGCTCTGTTGAGATACCTGCATGCTTGTATGATTTGATTGTATGCAAACTGAAGTCTATGTATTAAATTTTATGATCGCTGTAGGGGGTATCTAAACACGCTTCATACGTTCACCATGCCTTTCGAAACTTGAGCAAATCCCTCTGTCCATAACACTCGGCCACAATCGTCAGAATCATGTCGATTGCCGCCTGTGTTTCTACATCACTCTCGGTTAAAGGCGTGCTCTGCAGCCCTGCACGCGTGGTCTGTGTAGCATGAGATGTAGAGGCTGATGCACGTGTGACATTCTCTTTTTGACGCTTGTTGTTGCGCATCTCCTGTCGTTGTCTCTCAGCCTCTGCTCGGGAAAGCAGCTTGATACCTGATGCTGCAGATGGCTCGACTGGTGCGTCTGATGGTGGGACTGCTGGCTGCACTAAACGATCTCCAAGTTGGGCGAGAAGACGTGCTCTGGCTTTCTCGAGGTCTCCATCTTCGGCTGCATCTGACGACTCTTCTTCCTCTTCTGAGATGGCCATTTCTGCACCAGAATCGCCCGCATTGTCATCCATGACCTCACCGCTTTCTAGACCGTTGTCCGCGTTGGCTATCGAGTCGCCATGTTCTTTCACAAGTGCAGAACTTGAATCGTCACCGGGTTCATCATCAGACTCGTTGTCTCTTGCTTCGCCCTCTGGAGCACATTGCTCCTCTAGACTTCTGCTAGAGAGTCTTTTCACCAGACGGCTAGCAGCAAGACCCAGATCCCGAATCTTGCCGATTCTCTCATGATCCAAAGTCCCAAAGTCGCCCGTTAAGGCTAGTAGTGTCCATATCCAGCAGCTCTTCTGACGTGATACCTCAGTAGATCGATCCAGTGCGAATGCACAGCCATGCAGAGCCACATATAAAGTCGATTCGTCCATTTGAGTGACTTCCTCTAGTGTAGGATAGTCACGACTAATGGCTTCCGCCCAGTAGTGCTTTCCAGACTGGTCGCTGCGTTTTGTTTTTCGGGAACCTGGTGTTTTCCCCGAAGATGGCTTACGTTCCCGGATTGAAGAGAGTCTGTTGCGGAGAGTGCAGAATCGCTGAATGAGCGCCCATTGACAGCTCTCCTGCGGGTCGAGATCGTCTACGTCCCCGTCCCAGTACTCTGATGCACCCTCACTCTCGCTTTCTAGAGCAACCCAGGTACCATCGTTGTATACAGTACGCTGTGTGCCTACGGTCGGTTTATTCGAATTGCGATTGTCGTTGCCATGATCACTGCTAGTGCTGTGCACGTCGGCCGGGGCGACGAGGAGGGTAGGTATTGCTGAAGCTTCAGACCTGGTTCAAGATGTAAGCAATAGCTCCCTGTTTCTCGTAGAGCATGTGCGCAAAATTTCGCAACCTGAGATAATTACCTGACACTTTGAAGGTATGCCACTGCCTCATCTATTGACTCGTCTGTCAAATGCTCCTCTCCCTCAAGCCCTGGGAGCACTGATCGTACGCCTGGCTCCCGGAACTGTTCATTGGCGCGTGATTTCCCCTTGGTGCGCGAATTGTTACGATCAGTTTTTGCGCGCTTTGTTTCCGACGCGTTTTCCTGCTCGTGCTTTCTCTTGCTGCCGGGAGTTACTAGAGCAGACGTGAATGGCGGAGGAGGCTGTGTCGGTAGGAGGTAACCGTCGGGTCGCGATAACTTGTTGTAAGACTCTCCGTCTTTGGTCACAGCCAAATTCACGCCAGATGTTGCCATGTTAGTGGTGAAGAAGTGCAATACCTAGGCATTCAGTAAATGTGAATGCGGAGTTAGGGACGGAGGTGGACCAAGCTGGTCTAGCGTCATTTTCCGCCTTCTTCGTCTGTGGATGATGAAGTGATACGGAGCAGGCTATCTTCTACTGTGTCCCATCAAAGGACCTAGTGTTATCATATGATTTGTTCAACACAAGTATATTATTTACCTGTTCCGACCTGAATGTTAGTTATTGTTATTTCCCAGGATATTACGCACATGTGCACAAGAGTTATGCTGTAATGTCAAGCCTTGCACACGTGACGTCTCAGCGAGCAAAAAATAATTGCAAAAACATACGACAGCGGGGATTCGCCAGTGGTCACCCACCTGACTACTAGTCCGCCGGTATCTAGCTTAAATATGAAAGATCGGACGGGTTTTCTTGCTGACTAAAGATCCTATGGCCGTATGTGTCAGAAAAATAAAAATGATTTAGTTTGATCTTCGAGTAAAATGATCTGTTGCAGACAGTCAAAATCCAAGAGAGCTCACGTGATGCTATCGATAAGCCAAAGGGTTGGCACTGCCGCACGGAGGAAAAACGACATTCCTAACGCCCTTCGGCACACCGTATAGAGATGTTGAACATGTCAATTTCAAAAAAGCTGGGTAATGTCTTTGCAGGACTAGCACATATTTTCGTGCACAGTGCGCAGGTATGCGAGGTTGTGAACGCGGGATTAGTTTTCGCTCAATTTTACGAATACATCTACTGAAGCGCGATCTTCTCGAATATCCATTTCTGAGGGATTGTTGCTATAAATGCAGGGAGCTACGGCGAAATTACGAGTGCCTTGACTGCTAAGAGGTAGAGAGATTGGTGCTGTGAACAGAACACTTTGGATGCTAGTACGGGCGTTCTGGACGTCAAGATAGGCGACTCCGCGTGTATCTCAGAGTCGGCCGACTCATAAACTAAGTGGGTAGCTGGAGATAATAAAAAGTACCGCAGATGCAAAAGAGCGTATTGCGCTATAATCAGACAGGTACAATTTTTGTGTTTGGAGAAACGGAAAGGTGTTTCTGCCTAGAACCTATTTCGCTCTAATTCCACTGCTTTTCGGTATTATTAACTAATCCAGAAGAAGAGCCCATAACTCTCCTAGACCAATTTGAGTCTATCTGAATGCCAGAAAGGCAGTATAATATTGATAGCACATACATAAATGCAGATCGTTGTATTGTGCACTATACTAGTCCCTACTCTAGGTGCAAACACTATCATGATAAGCGCGACGACATGAGAGTGAAAGACGAAAATGGCGAAATTTGGTGTCAGGTGGCAAAGGGCCGGTCACGGGAGCCTACAGGAAATGCTTCATTTATGTTTGTAGTGATCTGATGACGCAAATGTCTTCACGTGCACGTCTTCCTCAGTATTCCCTCGGTGTATATAAAGCATTGAGCTCTGCCTCTACAACTTTCTCTGCACCCCACCACCACTCCATAGGTAAACGATTATTACCTTCGGACTTGACAACATCATCGCATATGTCAACAGAAATAGTATCGCGGCACTCACACAAATCAATATCGGTGGAGCCAAGGATACTAGCTTTTACGAAGTCTTTTCCTCCAGCCGCCCATTCTCAGTTCGCTATTTAGTTGTCGTAAGTCGCTACGACATTACGGACTTGTAGTCACCCCGAGAAGGCAGAATTCACGTCGGATTTCACAAGACTGGAAACCAGGTAGGATTTCGCTGGGCATCCGCATATATATCTACATTGGGAACGACGGTCGCAACACTTTGAGGAGAGCGTGATCTCTCGGATGATAGAGCTGCTGCTGGGAGAGGGTATGAGGTCCAACATCAGGGCTAAAGTATACAACGATATACTATATTATGGAGGGGAAGTCAAGCTTAGATAAAGTTACTTCAGTGGACAAAAGGATGAATTGTCTGTCAAGCTTGAGGTTTACTCGAGCTCAGCCTTTATCTACTCATATCAGATATAAAATACTCCAGCTCCGTTGTATCAAGGTAGCTCAGTATCGGCCCGTATATAATAATGTTCAGTTCCAGCTCCTTCACCTTCACCTTTTCCCATTTCGGCTCAGGCCTCAGCGACCAGTACAGGCTCCACCGCGACATATATACTTCTCTTCATCTACAGATGACACCAATAGATGAAGAGGTGAAACCACAGTATCCATGACTATTTACCGGCGTTCCCATTAACAGGTAATGCCGGCAATCTAGTCAAGAGACACATACGTTCACGATAAACATCATTGCAAATCGCAAAAGGAAGACATTAACAACCGTTTAACGTCCCGTTATCGATGGCAAAAAAAAGCACGGCTTCGGTGACACTCTTGGTATATAGAACCGCTACAAAACCCAAGTACAATCTGGGATTTTATCCCTTATGTCGTCAAGGCTGGTTTTTCCGGCTCAGACGTAGCCATCATCTCTGCGTACACGGCACAAGTAGCCACGTATCGATATGCATTATACAGCTTCATCGACTGGTGTCTACAGCAAGATAGGGGCAGTGATGTGTATCGTCTCAGCGCACAGCTAAGCCATATCGAGGTCTTCGCCGTTGACAAGACGCAGGGTGACCAGAAAGAGGCCATCCATCCATTCCACCACCACGTCGACCGATCTGGGGTTTCACGGATGAGGCAACCTGTCAGCTTTCTTGCCAATGGTCACGCGCGGGCGCGGCTCCCAATAATCGGGCGATTTCCAAACTGGACTCGAGCAAATTCAAGGGCTACTCATGTCGAGTGGGAGTAATTCTATTTGGTTTGGGAAAAGTGGCGCTCCATGTATATTCAGCAAGGACATACAATCGAAATAGCAGATGCTCGTGTGCCAGGATCTCTCAAGAACTATCTATATAAAGGAGTGTTTTACCAATTGGAAATGTGTTTCGCGGTGTATGCGTGTGTATGAAATGGCAATAGGGGCCATCTCCTTTGGGAATATGCCCAGAAAGAATGTCAGAAAGATATATAGGACTGGAGCTTGGGCTCGAAAGACTGAAGAAATATAAATAGAGAAAGCAGAGAAGATTCTTCGTCTCTCTGGTGAACAGAAGGAGAAGCACATGATGCGCATTGAGAAGAGATGTAGCAAGTATTCGACAGAACCTCTGTGGCGATTTTGGTGGCGTTGTGGTTAGAAACCGCAGTTATTGCAAAACCTCTCCCCTTTCTTACAGGCACTTCTTTATAGCTTTTTTCCGTACATAAGTATCTTTAAGAAATATCAATCTATAATGGGATTTCGTGATTCAAACTTACAAGCAGGTGATGCGATTTGATGGAACAAGACACAGTGATAAGCCAGCCGTTGGTGTTGTCGTATTTGATTACATTAATAATTATGTTGGCATCCTACCTACAGCGCCAGACATGCTGGGCTCCGCTAAACCGTATTTTCCCCTTTGTATATATTCATAACCAGCCCACAAGGTCCGTTGCGCCTACAGAGGCCATTAAGGGTACTGGCAGTGGCCATCAGATCCATGGCGCACATAACCTCCGAACGCCGTTGATCATCATAATCATCATTACCAGTACACTACTGCGACATAGTTTGTCTCTCACAACTCCCTTTCCCTTGCAATCTCAGCCTGCTGACGTAGCTTGGGAGCGGTGGTGCTTCCCTGACTGCTTCCACTGGGGTGTACTCCCTGTTCCATATCAGCAGCCCAGAGGGCAGCACCGACAGTGTTGGTAAAGCAGAAGAAGATGCCGACAACGGGTACGAGCTCGAGAAGGACAGCAGGAACGCCGAAGCTTGAAGAAGTTAGTTGAATCGTTATCGAATTGTGTTGGTCTACTCACCTGGTGTATGCAGCCTTGCGCTCCTCAATGAATCGCTCCTTCTCCTGCTTCTTCATCTGCTTGAGCTGGAAGTACCTGGCATGTGCGGTTGGACCAAACTTGCGTCCTTGAAGCATGACAAAGATCAATGTACCAACAACGGGGATGAAGTTGAGAGGCAGGTACATGAAGTAGCGAATGATGGCCTTGGGCGTGAACCTTGCAAATGGCTTGCTGACCAGCTTGCCCAGCTTTCCAATGGGATCACTTCCTGACTTGACCTGGCGCTCGTTTGATACAAGTGCAGTTTGGTTTCGGCAGACCATTGTGCCATCGAAGGTGTCAATCAAGGCATCATCAATGAGAAAGTTCTTGCTCAAGACAGAGAATATGGTGGACGACTCGCTGAGAACAAGCAGAACAGTGGTGACAATGGCGAGAGGACCGTTGAATAGGGTGAGAAGTGCAGCCTGTGGAACATAGGTGACAGCAAACATCATCACAGTGACACCCAGACCGAGCGAGACGGTTGGGAGGAGCTTTGCAGCTAGAGGTTTCCATAGCGCTCGATGTGTGAAGAAGTAGGCGATGCCCTGACTTGGTGTTAATCTTGACAAGTGCTTTCGTGTTCCGAGTTCCGGATACGGACCTTGAAAGGATAGAGATAAGCGGCCGATCGGACAGCGTCTGACGCCAGCTGCTTGTACTGGTCAAAGTCCTCTTTTGCGACTTCCTTGACTTTGTCTGGGACTCTCAATCTGGACTCGGACATGGCTGCGGGGGGGAAATCGGGGCGATTGGAGGGACGAGGGATTCTGCAAGGCAAATTGCGTCGTGATGGACATCAAGTCGCGTTGTCCAGCCATGGGCGTGGTGGGGGACGGTTTTGGTGTAGGTGGAACAACGTCATTATCACGTCGATGCTTGGCCCAAGCTTCCGTTCCAACAAGGCGGGAAGTTTTGCCAGCGACCGTGTCCAACGGAAACGGATGGACAGACACATGTCTTTGCTATGAATTTGTGCGACGCGTTGCAAGTCCCACTTAATTGATATCATTGGGGGGCGGATTCGTCGCGGCGGGAGAGCAGCAGTAAGATGGCGACATTGCAGGGTACGTCATTCACCCCCAGCTTTTACGTGTGGCAGGGAGCCCCCAGCAGTGTCCCTTGTGCCGGGCTCATGGCTGTCGCGCCCGCGTGGTCCGTGATGCTCATACGGATGGGAAACCAGAAAAACGTGCTGTCAAGACATTGGGCGTGCAAGACAATGCGGTATACATGTCGATGCGGCGGCGTCTAGACCGTGGGCGCGGTACCCACTCTGCTTCTCGTGCCCTGTTTACGCGCAGCTGTGGCGGTGTATGCCTAGCTGCGTACCAGGGAACTGATGCAACATTAGATGAAAGCGGGAATGCAGTTATGGCTAAGCTTTGCCCTACCCCACATTTCCATGCATCGAATTCGAACAATGACGCAGCCCAGGCCGCATGCTAAGTCCCGCTATGATCAAACGGGCCAGGCCAGTGTAAAACCTTCCCTGGAGGGTCCAGTCGCGGGAGCCATTAGCCAACCTCCTGTGGCTGCGCGAGGCGTGGCACGGCAGCCGTAAATTAGACAAACGAGGGGAACATCACCAGATCAATGCCACTTGGAGACCCGCTCGACCAGGTTTCCTTGACCCCCAGCCAGGTTTCTTGCGCCGCTCGAGACACTTTGACGTGGGCATCCACAGTTTGCTGTGGCTGATTGCTCCACTGCCCATCGCCTCCTGGACATGTGTTCTTGCTTGCCGTTTGTTTGTATCACAGACATAGACATGACGTATGGGAAGGCCTTGGGGGTTCTTGCTCCTTCATCACATACATATAAGAGGGCATCACTCCCCTTGCTTTCCATCATCATCATCAACACAAACACAAACATCTCACAACAACAGCCAGCTACAACCTAATTCATACTTTAAACCACCTACTACATTTACATCACCCTCAGATCACATACAGAACCGCAATCATGACAGGAATGATGGAGAAAGTCAAGGCCAAGGTCGACAATGTCATGCACAAGGACAAGACTCATGGTAAGCAACTTCAGCATTCACTCCTATCTTCTTTTAATAACATCTCCCAGACGACCCCACCGGCCCTCACAGCTCACATGCAGCCAACACTGCTGACCCTACTGTGCACAACACCTCCACAAGCCACACTGGCACCCATGGTACAACAGGCTACAGTGACCCCACTGGCCCTCACGACTCTCACATGGCCAACAAGGCCGACCCTAGGGTAGACTCTGACCGCGTTGGTACTGCTGGCAACATGGGAACTGGCAGCCATGGAGTCACTGGCACCCACGGAACCACTGGCACCCACGGTACAACAGGCTACAGTGACCCTACCGGTCCTCACGACTCCCGCATGGCCAACAAGGCTGACCCAAGGGTCGACTCCGACCGCATCGGTACCGCTGGTAACATGGGATCCAACACCCACGGCACTCACGGAGTCACTGGCACTCATGGATCAACTGGATACAGCGACCCTACCGGTCCCCACGACTCTCACANGTTGGCACTGCTGGCAACATGGGAACTGGCAGCCATGGAGTCACTGGCAGCCATGGAACCACTGGCACTCACGGAGTCACTGGCACTCATGGCTCATCCGGCTACAGCGACCCTACCGGTCCCCACGACTCCCGCATGGCCAACAAGGCCGATCCCAGGGTCGACTCCGACCGTGTCGGCACTGCTGGCAACCTAGGAAGTGGCAGCCACACAACCGCCACCCACGGAACATCCAGCCACAACGACCCTACTGGTCCTCACAGCTCGCATGTTGCCAACAAGCTTGACCCCAGGGTCGACTCCGACCGTGTTGGCCCTGCTGGCAACAAGGGAAGCGCCGCCCATGGAACCACCACCGGCACTGGCAACTTGGCTCACCGTGAAAATGAGACTGGTGATCTGCCCAAGGCCCTTGTAGAGCCCTACTCCCAGGCCGAGCCTCACTCCTCTCTCCAGAACGGCCACCACACCACTGGTACTCACGGTAGCAATGGCCTTCACAGCACCACCGGCACCACTGGTACCACTGGCACCCACGGCACCCACGGTACCACTGATGTCCACGGCAAGCCATCCATGATGGACAAGCTGAGTAAGTAGTTTCTGGCATTGCATTCAAGACATGCATACACTAACGTCTGCTAGACCCCAAGAAGGATGCCGACTTTGACGGCAAGGCGGGAATAATGGATTAGATGCAGTCTCGTCTCCTGTGTACATGTAATATTGTAGACAAGAGGTCCCACTGAGCGACGGGTCACCTCTGGACATGGTTTCATGACATGACTTTCACGAATACCCCCTATATTGCCTTAAAACCAGCTGTATAAATAGCTTGAATGAATCGTAATATTACTATCCATTTACTTTTTGTTCCTGTTCTCCACCCTCAGTGACTCATTGCCTAAGTTTTGAGGGGAAAAAAATCATCCTTCAACAATGACATCCTTTGTCTTCGCCATCTTCACCATCTCCGCCTGATCCTCAGCACTCAAACTGCTCGCCTTAGCGGCCTCCTTCCACTTCTCCACCTGCTCATACTGCTCCTCGCCCATCTTCCCCTTCAACAGCTTCAATAGCTTCGGCGCAAACTTCCCCGTAGCATAAACAACGCCATTGTAGTGTCGCGCAAACAGCACAATCACCAGCATCAAAAACAGCACTGGTCCATCCGACGCCTTTTGCTTCTGCAACCGCCTTAACATGTCGTCTACCATACTCTGCTTCGCGTTTTCCAGACTCGCCGGCGCTGGCGCGGAAATGCCTTGTTTCTTTGCAAACTTGTCCAGCGCAGACGTGATGGCGGAGATGTCCATTGTCTTTGCCGTATCCAGAATGCTCGATAATCGCGCTATGTTCTTGCGCGTCTTGCGACTTAGCACGAGTCCCTGTGCCCGTGCTTTGGCAATCGTGTCCGGGATGAGGTCTTTGTGCGCGTAGCTGGCGAGTAAGTCTGCGAGTTGGTCGTGTAGTTTTTGATCGGCGACGTGCGAGAGACCTGTCTTGTAGACTTGGAAGCGCGCGAGGATGCGGTCGGTCCAGTAGGTTGCAAAGTCTGCTTCGTTTGGTGTCTCCAGGGATGCGAGGGTCTGGAGGAAGGTTTCTTCGAGGAGTTTCTCCACGGGCTTTTCGTCCGCTAGGAAGCGCTGGACGAGACATAGTTTGGGTATCGAGGCTCGGATTCTGTCGCGGCTGAATTTTATGTCGTCGGTTCTTGTGGGGTCAGCGTGGAGAAGTTGCCATTGCGACTCTACGTCTGCTTTTGCGTAGCTGGATAGTTCGTCCAGTGCGCAGGTTCGTCGGGCTCCAGTCAGAATCAAGTGGCCGACGCGGACAATTCTTTCTTCTTGTGGTCTTTGGGAGAATGCATCGACCACCGAATCCTTGACTTTAGCGACTATCGGATCCATGATGGTTGCAGGCAGACCCGGGCCAATTAGTTGTGTAACATCTAATGTAGACCCTTCTTGCACCAGTATCCGTACGGAATCTTGCTCAAGTCGTGCTATCCATCGCTTTGACACAGCAAAAGAGTCCAGTACATCTACTTCTTCAATGTTCTGGAAGTAAGATACCGCGTCTTCGAATGTTGGGATTAGTTCTGAGTAGTCTGCAGCAAACTGTCTTAGATCCAAGTACTCCAGTGTACCGCTCTTCAATTCCTCGACTGTTGCGTTGCGTTTTGATTCTACAAGTTTCTTGGGTGTGCAAATTACCCGGTTGGGGTCTTGCTCAATAGTAACTTGGGATGTGAGACTTTCAGAATCCAGTGCCTTTTCTAAAGTCCGGAATATGAACCATGCTGGTGGACTGCCATGTAGATCTTCGGGCAAGATGGTTATGGTTCTTTGAAGTGTCAACAGCCTAGTTTTTGGCGATGAAATCTGTACTTACTGTGGTTGATCGAGTGCCTGCTTGACTCTACTGGTAATGTTGCTGGAAATCTCGCTCTCGTAAGCTCCTGTACATACAAAACCATTTATGTCTACAATATCGTGAGTTTGATCTGCAAGTAAGGCGTCAAGACTCTGGGGCCATATGTCATGTTGAGAAGCAAAATCAGTCTTGGAGTGCACTCCGGAGGAGAGCAAGTCGGCAAGTTTTTGCTCTAGCGCATCTCTCTCGTCGATGGGAATAATATTTTCTTGGTCTGCACTTAGCAGACATAGTTTTGGATGGCTCCGCGCAAGTTGGTGTACAAGTATCGTGCTTATGTCAAGATCGCTAGCCAATTCAGATATTGAAATTCGTTCCGTCTCTGCAAACACAGTCAGTGAAATTTTTCTTAATGAAGATTTGAAAATTCACCTCTTGTTACACGACTTCGAAACTGTGCCTGAGCAAACTGGAGTGTAACGAAACCATTACCACTGGAGGCTAGGGCAAATTGTGGTATAAATTCTGCGCTAGTCTGCGGGGGAAAGAGGGAAAAAATGCTCTTCACATCGTTTTCAGTGAACATGCTGACTCCACAGATGAGACTAAGATTTCCAAGTTTCTGGGATAGTGTCTCTATGTTCCCAAGCTCCTGGGCATAAGAATGCGCCGCTTTGTATAGTGCGACAAAGAGTGGGTGCGATTGAAGAGTTTGTTCTGGTGCGGTAATGCTGCGGACTGGCCTGGAAGATGCAAATCTATCCAGGAAAGGAGAAACCTGAACTTGCAGTAGTTTTTAGGGATTAGTAAGTTGCACCAAGTGTCTGTCCTGTGATTCGACTTCTGGAAGGTGAATGATGGAGGGCGGAGACAGCGTGGCGCTGATTGGTGCAAAACGAGCGGCGCCCGGATGAACATCGGAATTTGGGCGCAACCTCATCGTCGGCCCATTGACTTTGATAGCGACGACAAGACCACCCACCGCCGTCATGTCTCAATTCCGCGCGGCCAAGCTCGACATTGGCTGCTTCACCAAGATCCGCAATATTCGCGACCACACGAAGCGCAAGGTGTACTCGGAGAATGAGCCAGAGCGGTGCGCATACCCACCTCTCCGAATATCTTCAATGACTGATGGCAGCATAGACAAGCGCTCCGCTACATAATCCGCAATACTACGCTCCCGCAGCGAGTCCGCGCACAGGCTCAGCTTCAACTATCGGAAATGCACTGCTACACACGCTTCACACAGATCAAGAACCGATGTATAATGGGAGGCAAAGGTCGCGGCGTTTTCAGCGACTTTAGACTTGGAAGGGTACGTAGACAGTGCAGTTGATGTTGGGACTCAAGTTAACATTTCGGCAGTATCAATTCCGTGTCAACGCACTCGCGGGGAACCTACCAGGTGTGAAGAAGGCAAGCTGGTAGAAAGGATATGTGGGAACATGTACAATATTATAACAGGGCAATCGGACATTGGGCGGCGTACTTGCGTATAAGGCACCTGGGCTATGAAAATGGTTTTCTGGTGAAAAGTCTGCGCGCAAATGATTGCTCTCTCACCTCACGTGCTGGTCAGGTTGCTCATCTCACTGTTTGCTCTTGCCGTATTTAGCAGATACAAACCGCTACAGGCCAACAACAGTGAAGCCTTTTTCAACAGCTCAGCAGTCTTGTTCCTTCTCAGATCCCTCAAACTCATTTCCAAACTCATCTCCTGCAAAGAAGCAGTATCAATATGTTTCGGCGTGTAGAAAACACCATGAAGGCGGACCCGTCATACCCAGCTGACCTCAAGCAACTCGGCTTCTTCATCAACGACACAGGTCACATACGCATGATCGATGCACCAGACAAGCCTCACACCTACTGCGTCACTAACAACGAGCGTGTCAACGAAGTCCGCTGCGAGGCTATGCACAGTGAGTTTGACAGCAGACGTGACTTGCAGTACATCTGACATGCCACAGCTTGCCAGCGGAGGGAAGTTGAAGCACGACTATCTCGTCTCGGACTCAACCGCATCTATCTTCCACAGTTCACTACAGAGAAGCCCGACGGACCGAGCATACCTATTCTTGCCCCTGAGCTCGAGACGCTAAAGACGCGCAAGCAAATCGTTGTACTCATCAACGACACCCAAAAAGACCTGGGTATCTTGTCATATTCTCAATTATCAAGAGAGCTCGGTATCAATGGCGGATCAGTCGTCAACTTTGCCAAGCAAATGATCAAGCGCTCTGGTACAAACAACACTGACGAACAAGCCGCCGCCATCTTCAAAGATAACTACGAGCTCGATGACAAAAGCACCGCACCCGGCTTGATCATCTTAAACCCATCTCAACTTCTCTATTCCCACAAGCACAACCAAGCCATGACCCTACGCAGCTGGTCCGCCATGCCACGCAAATCCATCGCCCACGACATGATCCGCATCCACGACTCCAACTCGATCCCCGGCCACCTCACCCCAAAAGCCCACATCAAAACCGTCTTCGATGAGCTCCTCTACAACCCCACCCGCACCGCCGCCGACACCGAACTCTCCATCATCGCCATCGAAAATAGTACCGAAGCCCTCCTTTCCATTCTCGCAGAAGATTGTAAGTAAACAACCCCCCCGATTATCCCCTCTCTATCTCCATCCTAATAACAATTTGTCGTTGGTCTTGTCAGTTGAGAAATACACACCCGGCATCACCGCCATAGCCCTCGTCCACTGCACCCTCGACGCCTCGCAAATCACGCACCGCGGCCTACGCGCCTTCGTGCGCCAGCGCGCGCGCCAGTGGCGCTTCAACAATGCCACGGCGAACCCGCTGCACTGCATTGCTATGCCCGAGTCACACCACGAGCATGTAGTCACCAACGATGAAGACGACGACGACGACGACGACAAGGCAGGGGTAGAATGGGCTTCTGGGACTGAAGTCCCGTGTCCTACATTTGCGGGTGGTGATGGCGCGCTGGGAGAAGATGTGTTTGTTGATGCTGCGGTGCAAGATGCTGTGCTGGCGTTTTTCCAAGAGGCAAGATGTCAAGGGGCGGTTTTGGGTGAGAAGGCAAGAGAGGGTCACGTGTGGAAGCCGCAGGTTGAAGGGCCGCAGGTGGCTTTTGCAGGCACCATGGTGGATAGCGGGTTACTCAAAGCAGCGGGGTTGATGGATTGAGGAGCTGAGTAAGGGTGGGATGGGCATTTTCTTTTGTTTGCAAATACGGGACGTGGGATCATGCTTAAGTGTGCTGAGTTGGTCATGCAGGTCATTTACTTCATTTCTGTACATGAGTGATTTTTGCTTTATCTGATCTTTGCTCACCGTAAAAAAAAAGCCAGGGTTTGGTGATCATCTGTGCAATGAATAAAAGAAAGCCGTGTTTGGATCCGTAGAAATTCCTCGTGAACCTTGAGAAGAGAAGAACGTATTTGAGCATTATGAATGAATCATCATAACTTCACATAACCAGACGCCCTAGAAGTTCAATCCCGCTTATCGTTGTCTTCGGGTCTATGCTCTGTACTTAACTGTACACACACACACACACATATGTATCAGCTTGCGTTCGCCAAACTCTCATCGCTTAGACAGAAAAAAAAACACATACCTGATTCCCGTTGTAAAATTGCTGGGGCTCTCTGCCCCTTTGATCAGCCAGTGTGCGTACTCGGAAACCTGGATTGTTGGGAGTATCGTGCTGAGGTTCCTGGTTCGATCTAGAACCGACGGTTTGACCACCACTAGGCCGTTGCTGCTGTTGTGACGACGACGACGACGACGATGCACCTTGCGAACCATAGCCTATAGCAGAGCCTATTGTGTTACTCACAAAGCCGACTGTCGAGGCCAGCAGCCCAAATGCGCCTCCTACAAGACCCGTAGCGGCACCTACGACGCCACCTTCTGACCCAGAGTACGCTTCTGTGTATCCCTTTACCGGGACAAGGACCAAAGTTGCGCTGGGCGCAAGATCAATGTCGCCTAGTGACTGATTTTCGTCACCGGCAGAGAGCTCACGACTTGGCTGAGGTGCAAGGATGTGGCGGAAGTAGTAAGGAGGAAGCTGCTTGTGGTTGATGTTTGCGTCGTCTTGGGAGAGCTTAGAAAACTCCGAGTCTACCCATTTCCTCACTTCTCCCTGTAATGTGGCCTCGCGTGGAAACGTCGAGCGTATCGTCCGCCCGTCAAACAAGCGCACATTCAAATTGACGTGCTTTGCTCGTGACCCCTTTAAAGACGATGTTGTTGATGTATGTGGTGGAGGCGATGTTTGGGCTTCCTTGTTCCGCTCCTTCTCCCGCTCTGCTCTTCTTGCTTCTGCTTCTGCCTTTCTTGCTGCCTTGTCTGCTTCTATTCGTGCCTTTACACGTGCTAGTTCCTCTGCTTCTTCTTTCTTCTTCTTCCGCAGCGCATCGCGGGCTTCTTGCTGTGCTTTGCTTGTAGACGCAGACGAAGTGGATTTCGATGTCGGCGCTGATGTCATCCTTTGCTTACCTTTTGCGTTCGCTGAATGTGGGGGCGCAGCTGCGGGTTCAGCTGGTGTGGGGGTGTAGGGTTCTTCGGCCCCGTACAAATCGTCTTCAGCCGCTGCAGTGTTGTGATTACTTGATGAGTCTAGGGTACTGGCTTGTGGTGGTAACGTTGGCGCTGTATTGGAGCCTGGAATGGGGCTGGCTCCGAGCACTCGCCTGATGGAGTTGATAAACTCATCCTTGGTGACGTGACTCTTGAGTTGTATTTGAAGTTGTCCATTGTGTATAACGACAAAGGTGGGAATCTCTGAGAGGTCCGAGAAGGCGGCGAGGAATCCAGCCTCGGTGGAGCCTGCCTCAAGTCGCAAGAGAACAGCCTTTTGAGCAAGGAGGCTGGAAAGCTGCACAAGTCGTCAGCACGTGCGTGTCAGAATAGGCCAGGGAATATCCAAGCCAGGAAGCCTTACCCATCCACTGGTCAGCCACTCGTCTTCCCATTCCTTGCTTGTGGCTCCGTCGTCTGTTCAGGTGGTTAGTGTGATCTCCACATCCCGAGTGGACAGAGTAGCCTCAAATACCTCGCACAAAGCAAGCGACGAGTTTTTGTTCCTTGATGGCAAGCGCAATACCGCTTTGTAAAGTTCCCTCATGGAACATGATTGCAAGAGAGTGCAGGCAGAGTGGCGGGTGTTCGCGGGGAAAGCTAGGGGACGCGCGCTGGAACAAGGATGTGTGCCTGCGCCTCCAACCTCCAACACGGCCGGTACCGAGGCCAAATGGTCGCGTCCATGTCTTCACATGATTCATCACAAAACAGGCTTCTGTAGGAATTTTTTTTGGCAAAGTTTCAAAAAAGGAAAACCTCATGCAATAAACAGATCTACTGGAAATGCTAAAACCCAGTTCCTGTGAATCCTCCACGCCCAAGAAGAGTAATGCAGCAGAAAAAGCCAATGCTAGACTCCTGATATTCAACTGCAGCGTATTAAAAGATGCTGCGAAGCAAATGCTATTCGTGTAGATGGACGCATATGCCCGGCATGTCGGTCGCCTCCTTGTTCGCCAGTGACGTCCCCAAAACGCGATGTCCACCCTGTCTCCTGTATTTGGTATCCAGATGATATCACTCCCATACGTTAATCTTGGAGTAAGTTGTAGAGATGATCTACGAGCATATTCAATCTTTTCGATCTTTGTGCAATTACGTCAAAACATTTCTCGTCTTGACGGTCCGCTCCGCCTCTTTATAAAATGGTGCACTTCTTCTTGTTCTTTGCCGCGGACACTTGGGGACGGGGACTGAGGACAGCGCTAAGAGAGAAAAAAAAAGTTAGCGGTGAGGCGTGGGCAGGGGGTGAGGAGTAGAACGTACCGGATCGCCTCGTCAAAAACACTCTTGAGGTTGCGCTGTGTGAGTGCAGAGCATTCCAGGTACTTTTGCGCCTTGATTTCCTTTGCGACCATGACGGCCTGCTCATATTGGATGGGCGCCATCTTCTTCTGCCTTAGCGACTCCTTGGTGGCCTCGTCGTCCCGCAAATCAAGCTTTGTGCCGACGAGGATGATTGGTACGCCAGGCGCGTGGTGGTCGATTTCAGGGTACCACTGACGTCAAGTTAGCAACAAGCGCGACAGCTGTGATGATGATAATTTTGATGGTGGAGTCAGCTGTGCGTACCTTTGCCTTTACGTTGTCGAATGAGGGAGGGCTGACGATGGAGAAGCAGATGAGGAAAACATCGGTCTGGGGGTAGGAGAGCGGTCGCAGCCTGTCGTAATCCTCCTGTCCGGCGGTATCCCACAGCCCGAGGCTTATTGGCTTTCCATCGACCATGACGTTTGCAGAGTAGTTATCAAAACTAGGCGGGTTAGCTCATGGATGGGTGCGAGAGGGCGGATGGGCAAACGTACACAGTGGGAATGTACTCGCCGGGGAAGGCGTTGGTCGTGTACGAGATGAGAAGACATGTCTGGGCAGGCAATCAGCATGCGGCCGGGGCGAAGGACGACGAAGGGCAGAGTTTCTTACTTTGCCGACAGCACCGTCGCCCGTGACGACGCACTTGAGGGATTGGGTTGCAGGTGCAGCCATGGCTTGGGTTGCAGGTGCAGGTGCAGCGTCGTCTGATTAGAGTTGGTTACGACCCTGCTCGGCGGAGGCAATGGGGCGGGCTCGGGAGATGGAGAAGCGAAGGGCGGAGCTCAGAGACCCTGCAAGGAGACGGGTCAGGCGGTGTCGTGAGGCGCAGATTACGAGAGAGGGAGGGGTATGTGTGTGTGGTGCGTGTTGTGTGGTGTGTGGTGTGTGGTGTGGAGGAGAGAAGGACGCACCGTTGGGACAGGTCGACAACGTGTGGGTAGCTTCTGGTTCTGGCGGAAGCTACTACCTGCAGCGTAGGGGGGAGGGGGGCGTTTTATCGCTTGGCGGCGGCGGGTTCAGAAGCGAGCAAGCTTGAGCAAGCTGGACTGGATGGGCGGATGCAGGCTGCGCGAGTCGAAGCAGCGCGGGCCACTGACGGGGACACTGGCGGGCGGGGTCCGAGTCGTGGAATAGCGGCAATTGCCCAACTGAGGGTGTGCAGGGCGGCAGGCGGCTAGTGGGAGAGGCAGTGGTGGTGGCAGTGGTGATGGAGGCTGCTGGGCAAAGGGGGAGAGAGACTGGAGGGCGAGACAGAGAAGTGGACAAGAGGACGGCAGGTGTAATAGCGTAGGCTGGCGGGCGTGGGAGCGGCGGCGTCGTGGGCCAAAAGGGCAGCAGGCGCGTATCCTCTTGAAACCCATTTGCGACACAGCAGGCTCACCACGCCTCTACCGCGTCCGATAGGCAGCCCGCACGGCTCGACCACGCTCGCACCCGATGCACGCTGCCCGGCGCTGTACTGGGACATGCACCCCTGTCGACGACCCGGCCTGTCCTCGCACTCGATCCATTACCCGCAAGACGAGTGCCCCATGCAGTGTGGCATGCAGAATGCAGACGGCCACACATGCAGACGTGCAGCCCATCTGCCCCCGTCCCTGGAGCCTCCACCAAGCCCGGAGGCCGGGGGCGCGAGGCGGCGCAGAGACTCGTTGCTACTGCTCCGTCTGGTCTATGGTGTTGCTGCTGCTGCTGCTGCTGCACGCAAACGCCCAGTCACGTGCACGGCGGCCGACCGACCATACCCAAGCCATGCCGCGGCCATGCTAAGATGCTAGGGCACAATCCTCCGCCCCCGACACGCACGCCTTTCTCATGCCATCCGCCTCGATGCACTTGCCCTCCATATCCAAGCATACAACCACCACCACCACCACCGCCGCCGCCACTCCACAAAAATCACCACTCCAAATCTCACGTCAGGTCCCCGTCGCCACTCGCCTCCTGCTGGTGTGCCATGGGGGCATGCACATGTCAACCATAATCGCCGCCTGCCCGCCCTGTGATTCGTCGGTCGCTGCATATTTGTGCTTGCCAGTGCGCCCGTGCTGCTCTGTGATTTGCCCTCTGAACCTAAACACCGTGCCAACATCGCATTAGCACCTCCATCGCACCCGCGCCCCCGGCTGAGACTCGTAACCATGCACGTGTGGCCACAGAGGCCTGGTTTTAGCCACCGTCTCGAGACGTTCCTCCTGCATTCCTGCCCTGTCCTGGACTGCTTGTTTCCAATGCTCGCCCCACGACACACTTGCCCCTCCTGTCCTCACATGTCCATCTACCCACCCTCTCCAACTACACCAACGACATATATCAACGTCATGTAAGAGAAAAAACAAGCCTTGCTGCACTGTCGCCATGCCGCGTGCACGGCTGCGAACCGTAGTCTTGGTCTTCAACCTATCTATCCATGTACGCGCGCCCAGCATTCATTGGGTATCAAGAGTTCAACATAGAATTCCCCACTTCCTTCAGTAGAAAAGAAACAGTCCATCACCTCCCTGCTTGTCTTCCCCTACCAGCTCTTTCCGCAGCAGCAGCTTCATCAGCGCCTCATGTAGCTCCTTCATGTCCAGAATCCCACGCTTCTTTTGGTCAATATAAGACACATCCACCACCACCCGCTTCAGGTTGGCCGTTGAAAGCGCCCCATCCTCAAGCAATGCCACCAGTCGATCAGGCGTTCCAACCCCGTAGTCGACCCTACCCAACAGATTAGCATGAGCATTCCAAATTACTACCCGTGGTTCCACCTACTTGCTCTTCTTCAACTGCGCTACCTGATCCGCCAGTTTGAGATGCTTTGCAAATAGCTTTGCGACACTCGGCTTTTGAACTCCTTGTTTGGGCAATCCCGCCTTTAGAGACCGGCAGACATCGGCCGCTCGAATTCCAGACAAAGTCACCACAATCGTGTGGGGTGCTCCGGCCGGCTTGGAAGGCGTGGGTGCAAGCGCACCTGCCTGCTTCTTGAGAAAGGCTGACAGGTTATCCGTCGTTCGTGGCTCGCTCCAGCTCGTGCTATCTTGTACAGTGCGTGCTGCGTCATGTCAATACATTCCCGACCAAAGTATGCATTTTCAACACCTACCGGAAATAAACTTGTCCGCCAGCTCTACGCTGCTCAGCTCTTGTCCATAGAGTCGTGTTCGCGCGTTGACGTAATCTGCTAGTAGCTGGCCATCCATGCGCTCGAAAGCGTGGTTTACTCCCAACTGCTGGTCCAAATCATCCTCGTCTATCGCCTTTGCTCGCTGCTTCTTCTTTTCCTTGCGCTTGGCCTTTTTGGCAGCTTTCTTGCCGTCTCTGGTTGCCTCAGGCTCGGCTTCTCTCTTCCTCTTTTTGGAAGAAGCGTCAACGTCAAACTGCGCCTCAATGAGGGGTATACCTCCTTCCTGTCCAGAATCTGACATGGCGGAGACAGTGTTTTGTGTGAAGAGCGCGACCAAGTTCGTGCAACAGAAAAAGTTACAGCCAGGATTAAGGTTATCGATAACCTAACCAGTACCGGACTAGCTTTGCCGCGCGCCGCGAGGTCGCGCCCAAACGACGCGTTTCCCTGACGTCTATCCACCCTCCCGCGCTCCAACGACGCAACCTCGGATGGTACCGCCACAATGGCAGAATCTGCGCGCAAGAAGCACCGCTTCTCACCAGATGCCCAAGCCCAGGGAACGCCGAGCAACAATGCCACTCTACAACCTATAACCCCCTTCCGCCGCGCTATCAGCGTTGGCCCCACCCCAGGAAGCCGAAGAACACCACTCATAAGGACACCGGGAACTGGACGAACACCTCGAGGCGGACCGGCCACTCGTCCTCTTACCTCACGGCGAATTGCGCCGACCACACCGCATGCGATACGGGCCCTAAGGGAAAGAGCCAATGCGGCTCGTACACCGGGCAACAACCGGAGAAGAAGTGGGCGTATCCAAAGGGAAACACCGCGCGATCTACTACGTGATCTGAGTAGAGGTAATGCTTTGGTGAAAAGTTTCTTTACCCCAGCTAAATGATCATTGTAGCGCTTGCTCGTACCAGTCGTCCGGTCGAGCCTTCCCCGCAGGTCCTGCCCCAACGCCCACGACACTCTGCCCTGGACCTGCCAGATGTTGAAGATGGCCCGCCAATGGCCGCCCCCCGACTTTCCATGCCACTGGAAAACATGTATGACGACGACGATGATGATGAAAGTTTCCATAGTGCTCCGCCGCGACAATCGCTACTACCAGACCTACCGGATGATGTGGATGGTGGGACTGTACAATCTCTCGAATTTGGAAGGCGAGCCATTAGTGAAGATCCGCGTTTGATGTACGGGGGGAGGCAAAGCGAAAGGTTTGGAGATTTGAGTGAACTCGGTGCGGTAGAGGAAGAGTATGAAGTAGACGGGACGTTCATCAACCGACGCGCAGATGGGCTGTTTGACCAAAACATTGAGCAAGATTTAGATGGAGACGATACCACCATACAGGCATTGACTGGCCGAAGAGACGGGCGTACTAGCGATGCCAACCTGGGCATATTTGGCGATGGAGACGATGACACAGAAGAACCCACTTTCCGCTTCATGATACCTGATCGCATGCGTGCACCACCCCGGCAAGCGCCACAAGAAGAACAAGAAGCCCAGGAAGACAATGTACCAGATAGCGAGCCTGTGAACCTCCCAGACGAAACACAAGTACAATATGATGATGATCAAGACCCAACTGCAGCTTTAGAGGACGAGGATCTTACCCTAGATCAAGACAATCTGGGATGGGAGTCTGACCTTCCTGTGGACGATGATGCCGAGCTTGCAGCATATCGAGAAGAAGAATCAGCAATCGACCGGAGTCTCCAGACACACTCACCCGAGCGACCTTCCGCGGAACAGTTAAAGGGTGTGCGGAAGGCCAAGGAATACATGGTTTCAGAGCACGGTATCGGCTTTCCTTCGTTCCCCGCGGCACCAGTCAAGAAACTTGCTCTCGGTTTCATCAAGTCACAGGGAAGCAAAGCTCACCTCAGCAAGGATACTCTTGACGCCCTTGTCCATACAACAAACGACTTTTTCGAGCAAATCAGCATTGATCTCGCAGCTTATGCACAGCACGGTGGACGCAGGATGATTGAGGAGAGCGACGTCATCGCACTCATGAAGAGGTATTGTTACATCTATCCTGCTGTACAGTTTTGTACAAATTTGCTCGTCCACGTTGCTAACACTCACAAGAACCCGCAAAACGACCGAGAGCAGTACATCGTTTTCACTTGCACAAAAGATGCTCCCTCGGGAACTGGTCCAACAGCTGCGCATGCAGCCCCCGGTCAAGCTTAAAAGCCAAAAGCGCAAGCGGCCAGAGCCTATGCAAGAAGATGATGAAGAAGAAGAAGGTTAAGGCAGCCCAGTCATGTCTTATGACCAGTCCACGCTCTGTCGTACCCGTCGTTGGGTGCCTGACATGGGCTTCTTGACGACCATCCAGAACATTACAGATGTTGCAAGACTCAACGCGTACCTGCTTAATGTGAGCATTGGTGCTTGTATATGGAAATTTGATACGCACCATGTGAAGATGTACTGTGTATGATTGTTGCGCAGATTTACCGTTGGCGGCCTACCAATCGGTATGCCCTTTGGTTCACGCTCGTAATTTGTGAGCAAATCCGGCGCTGTGGTGAATAATTAGATACCCCCCAAATAGCAATCGTTTGAACAATTTTTCAAAAAAAGGCGCACTTACTCATTGTCTCTTCCACCCAAACTGGCTGACTCCCACTATACTCTGCCATTTCCTCTACACTCGGAAAGAACCATTTCCCCTTCTCAGGCTCATTCTTGGGCGTAAACATATTTCCCTTTGGCGGCACTCTCAGCAACCCCTCAATCGTCACCTCTCCCTCCGGCAGCGCCCCGTTCTTCTTGCGAAACCACTGCGGACTCGCTTCCTTCTTGATCCATCCCCTACACGCCAATATCTTGTGCACATTGCCCCTCGCATCCCTGCGCTCCAAAGGCGTAACAACCGTGTAACCCTCCTCGCCATCCAGCATGCGCGGCCCAATCAGCATTTCCTGGTCATGTCGTAGCACGCCCGTCGCATACACCTTTCTATAATCGAAGTCCTTGATGGCATCCGGGTCGATTCGCAGCGGGAGTTCCAGCGGCGGGAACGTCAATCGATCCTCAAATCGCGCGATCAAATCTGTTTTCCAGCCTAGCCGTTGCACCTGCCAGCACCCGAGTATGAAGGCTGTTACGGGTATGATGGCGAGGATGATGAGACCCGGTCCGTGTTGTTTGCCTGCGCGCGCCATTTTCGCGGGCCGATCCAGGATAGAGACAAAATTTGGGTCGAGCCCGGGACCGCCGCCTACATTGCGTTTTTGGGTGCGGAAGAGGAGGAATTGCGGGTGGAGGCGTGCGCGGAGGCATTGCGGGCTGGAATGTGGTGGGTAGGTGGTTCGTGATAGAGGGGTTATCCTTTGAGAGTAGTATCTCCTGAAGAGATTTAAGAAGGGGTTTGGTTTCGACATTTTGGCGTCGGTGGTGGTGGGNGCCTCGATGATGGGAAAGTTGAGATGCGATTGAATTAGTACAGTCGGACATCCGAGCTCTCAATGCGGCATAGGTCCCCCCGCTCCACACTTTCCCCATGTCAACATCTCCACGACTACCCAGGCGTCATTCGTATTCCAAACACCACGACACTGAAATCTCCACGTCATGGCGGAAACGCAGGATATTTCTGTTCCCCCGGTGGATGAAGTAGTGGCGAAACGTGATAAAGATGATTTGCTGGATCATTTGGATGACCTGCTCGAGCGCTATCTGCACACATTGCACGAGTATCAGCAAGTGATGCAGCAACTTTCGAAACAACTATCTAATGTAAAATGATTCCATACTGTATCTTGCTTGGAAAGAGATGGAGACTAATGAAGACAATAGGGCTACATGTCCCTTGCTCAAGCAAACTTCCACAATTCGTCTTCTGCGATTCGATATGGACAGGACTGCTACGATGAACGAATGCAGGCTATACGAAAAGTGTAAGTTCTCTGGAATCCTAGATGGTATATCTCCTTTTAGACACACGGATTATACTAACAAACAAAAAGCCACCTCTCTGAGGGCCAGACAAGCGACGTCCCGCACTTTACCGTCTACAAATCTGATTCTTCAGATGAAAGCGTAGATGCTTCTGATGATGCGTCCAAAAAGGTACATGTCCAGACATCAAAAGATGACTCAGAACATGTTGTTGCGCCGACAGCACCAGAGTCCAAACAAGAAGAAGAACAAGAACCAAAAACAACACCAAATACGGAAGAATCCAGCTCAACCTCAGAAGAACCCAAAGAAAAAACGAAGAATACCAAAAAATCTAATGATCCACTGAAATGGTTCGGCATCCTCGTCCCGCCTGCCCTTCGAACAGCACAATCTGCCTTTGTAAACGCAATCGAAACTCCGATCCCGCAGCTAGCCACGCTAGCCAGAGACATGCGAATGCAGGAGATTGAAATTGGCCGGGTCAGAAAGCAAATCAAGAAGCTCTAGAATATCTCTCCTCTTACTCACCCAGCTGGTTTCGATTCAAAATCTCATAGAGAAAAAAAAGATAATTTTTTGCACCCAATCCCCCCCCCCCTTATTGCCATATTGACTCTGCACACATCGTGCCCAAATAAACCCCCCCCACCAAAGAAGATGGAAAATTAAAAACGCCATCCCAATGCGCCCGTCCCTTGCATGTCCCCAGCTAAACCTCCTTCATAAGCTCCTCCAACTCATCATCATCATCATCCCATCCACCACCCCTCCTCTCCACGACAATCTTCTGCTCCTCCTTCTCCTGCTGCTCTGCCACCGCCCCGAGAATCTCTTTAAGCTGCTCCTCCGTCACTTTGGACCGCAGCTGGCCTGTCCGCGCCAGCATAATCAGCCGATTTTCGATGTCTGTGGCGCGCGATTCTTTGACCAGTCGGATCCGGCCGAGGCGGTCCGCGGCTTCGGGGAGGAGGATTTGAGAGAGGATTGAGGAGCGTTGGTCGGCTGTGTGCGTAGCGGGGGTTAGTTAGTACAGGGTGGTTTTGCGATTGTGGTGGGCATGTGTGCATGGATGTATATGGATAGGTAGGGAGAGCGAACCTTCTTGTTGTCTGTGGTGAGAATGGGTTAGCTTATTTTTATTTTTTTGTAGATTAGAGTTTGGGATGTATGGGCAGTGTTATTTACTTTCGCGAGTCTTGCTCTGAGCCTGAACCGCGGGCCCCGCCTTGCTGCTGCTGCAACTGCTGGAGGCGCGCGCGCCGGATTTGCTCGAGGTCTTCGTCGGACATTTTGCTTGTTCGATTTCGGTGTGGTTGATTGGGTCGCTTTGCGCAGAAGGAAAGGGAAAGGTGGGGTGGAGAGGGTAAACAAAGATGCGGGCTAAAGTTATGGCGCGCGCAGAAAGTGGTGGATGCGGGGAGGTTCGGGGGTCCGCAGGCTACTGGTGGGTAGTACGGGTGGCGGTTACACTACTACATAGAGTCGACATTGAATTTGACTAATATGGTGGAAATCAAGTTTCTAGTTGACATCTGTGGTAAGGTAAAGTGTCGCAGAAAAATGATGGATTTTTTTCCCTCGATTCAATGTGTTCAAAACACGTGACAAGTTTTAGTGCACTGAAATGAAGTAAGAGGAAAGTGGATTTGTATCAGAATTCAGTTTTAACATATAGTGCTATATGTAATTGCTAGTTGCTAGAAGTCTCATGTACGTCAAGTAACAGTAGAAGAAATAAGTGGAACAAAACTCCATGTTTACGTTTTGCTGATACCCTGCAGGCGATACACGCACAATAGTAAGCCCGTTGATGTACCCCTATAACATAACACGATGTCACAAAGTAACCATATTTCACGACAGCTCAAAGCCTTCCAGTCAGTCTTTTGGATGATGTTCGCGGATAAATCGATTGTACATTGCTTTTCCCCGTCCATGAGATATTCTCCGCATCGCCTGTCGCTGCTTCTCAAGATCGCTTGAAGCATAGACTAACTCGGCGCCCTCGTGGTCGAAGTAGCCCGATGTGCAAGCGAGCAAGACCGAGTACCACGCCGCTCGACTCTCCACTTTATCCACCTTAGCATCATTTGCTTCCTTAGTCAGCTTGATTATAAGCTGTGTAAGATTCGGAACCCGATTCACGGCCTATTTCAAAACATTGGCGATGTGCCTGGATTCTAAATCAAAAACTACAGTGAGATCTAGTGAGCCCGATCTACCACCGAGACCAAGATAGATAACGTTGGGGAGGCTGTTCGTAGCGATGCCATGCAGGTACCCATGTTTGTCTTTGAGATAGCGGCCGCTACAGCCCGCGGCAGGTATACCAAAGAGCTTAGCAGGCGCTGCGTTTTCCCCTAATGCCAGCAGGAAGCCCGTGGCAAGAATCAGCACGTTAAGCTCGTACTCCACTCCCTTAGCGACTATCCCCCCGCGATGATGTACACCGCTCGATGCCCTTGTCATCCGTGTCCACAAGCGTGGCATGCGACTGGTTGAAAGTAGACAGGTACTCATCTTGAAAGGTGGGTCTTTTACACCACATGATGTAAAACGGCTGTACGTATTTGATTGCTCCACCGTGGCCGCATCCTTCACTACGGTCTCTTCTACCCGTGCCCATGCATGCTCCGCCAGCGGCGTTTCTAACTCATACAAAGCATGCGTGCGCTCTTCTACATCTTTTGGGTATGACGTGACGTGGCCCCCCCGATGAAGCCCAAAAAGCCGCGCGCCATCTGAGTCCAGTCATCGGTGACCAGATCGGGATGGTCTGCCAAGTATTCTTCACCGTTAAAGAGAGCATCGAAGTTGAGTTGGCGAGCAAGCTGCCAGCCAGGGCCTGTTGCGACCAAGCTCGCCCACTTTTCGTCATCTGTAGCATGCTGGCGACGCGCAATACGAGGGTGTGCGCTGGAATGCGTACAGGGATTCGGTCCAACATGCAACTTGTGGCATGACTTAGATAGCTGTTGCCGACTTAACCATGATGCCGACTCGCTTGCCGTTGAGCTTTGAGAGAGTAGCGTCTATCTGCGAGTCGCCAGTGCAGTCATAGTCTCAACGCGCCATGTAAAAGACGGGGATATTTGCGCATAGCTCATCGAAGTCATCAACTTTGGACATCTTCGGTGATGCGAAGAGGGTTTTAGTCGGATCGAGAAATTGGGTAATGACGGTCATTCCCTCGCTATCACCGTGCTCCTTGCGTATTCGAACTGCCCACCGCCACAACCATCGTTGCATGTCATGCTGAGCACACGTGTCGAAGATTGGCTGCCCAGTCCAAAGTGCGATGCCATGCGCTCTCAATGTCGACAGATCTCATCGCTTGATGCATACTTCTGCAGGAGTTTGAATCTTATTTCCTTGAGGAAAGGCTTGTAAATGTAGCCCCTCACATCACCTTGTAGGCCTGGATATCGGTCCCAATACCATGTACCATCCGAACCGCCGGCCACGTCCACAAGGCATATTTCGTCTGCTGAGGAGCCTGCCTCTACCAGTCTTTCTCCTGCTAGCAACCTTGCATGTCCTGCAATAACGATGAGGGGCTAAATATCCTCACCGTCCTTGACCCGGTCCACTTGTTGCTGCAGGCCTTTGTGAATCAATGGATCATGGGTGATTGGTTTTTCCTCTTCGCTGAGTAAACGGGCGAATCGTTGCATGTCCTCAGCGAGCTATCGCTTGTCGCGCCTCTACTTGTCTCTGGCCTGGAGTTCGGCAGGATCAGCGATGGCCATCTTTGTTCTCTGTTAGTTCCTCTAGATATAGAGGATATGGCCTGGAACAGTATGGGGGCGTGACGACGATTTTTGAAAACCTGTTACTGAAGTGATGGACTTTGCCTCCAATTGATTCAAAATCCGAGCTTCTTATCATGCCGTTGCTTCTCCACTTGCACTGCATCAGCTTCCTCCTCTTTCTCCATCATGTTTTCTCTTTCTTCATCCAAGCTAGTTCTCTAGGGTACCAAGTAATTCTAAAATTACGTTGCGATGATGAGTTGTCGGGCCCCGAGGTTGTGAAAAGAACGGGCCGTGATATACGTGGGGATGTGGGGTGGGAGTGCCGTGGATTTGACGAACATCACGTGATTCCACACATCTGTGAGTCCATCGTCTCATCGCCCAACACGTATGCTCACAGCGATATTGAATGAAACTCGCATGAGCATGACAAACTAGTGATTATAGAGCATCCATTTCATGGTTAGGATGATGACACAATGCCAACAGAGATTTTCCACGTGACAAGCTTCAAGGTACACACAGATACCCTCGTCGTCCTTTCACGAGATATAGGATCTACAAATATCCAACCCCCCGAGAAGGTAAGCTTAGAAATTACAGAGTGAGAAGAGTTGTGACTCTTGCGTTGCCGTTATTCTTGGTAGACGTAAAGTATATGTTTGTGAGTGCGACGGCGAAACCCTACGCATCTCGTGCCTTCGGTAGTAGTCGTAACGACACAAATTACAGGATATGATGATAGAATTCCATTTCGTTGAGTTCTAATTGTGAAATCAGAATAATGCCGTCCAACTGACTCTTGGCCAATCACAGCTTAGATTCCCACTTCTTTGTCCTCTTCTCCGTCCGACCTGTAGCTATGAAAACTAAAGACGAAGTCATATCTAACTGATCAAGATAAAATTGCGGGAACTACTCAACTTATGAGAGTCTTCATCGATCGAGCTGATCCTTAATAATCTGCGATTAAAAACTCATGTGAACAAAAAGAACCACAAGCACTATACATGTTAGTTCACTCTCCAGGAAGTGTTACTGGGGCTTTTCAGATAGAGTATCGGGGCATATCATGTCTTATTCCAAATCACAATTTCCTTTTGTAGGACCGAAATTTGGAGAGGATCCCTCTGATTTCCGCTATGTTGAATAGTGCTATAACCAGCAATCCGAATAGCTCGTAAGTTCTCATATGCCAGATATATCAACAAAACCGCAAACCTCTTCGACGATTGTGAATAGTTAGCCAGCCGCAAATCTACTTAGACTTCTCAACTTCTCGCCAAATCTCCACAGCATGAATGGTGCCGGGACACCTAGCCCTATTGCGATGAAGCCAAGTACACTATTACCCCATCCAAAGTCTAACCACTTGTATATAGCCGGTGCGAACAACGGGAAACCAAATCCAGCTAGACTCCTTAACACTGTCGCTGCAGCAATGGCACTCGCTGCATACCGCGTGTAAGAGTCAATCAGATACCCATTGATACATTGAAACGCCATTACCATGCCTGCAGAAAAGATCGCAGCGCCAGCATTAGGCACAATCCAATGCATGCGGACTTGCGCACTCCACCCGTACCAGAAGAGACCTGCAGGGATCACAAGTGATGCAGGTACCAACATAGGGACGCGAAATTCAGGTCTCACGATACCGTTATTGCGGAACTTCAGACGGCAATATAGTGCATCGATAAGAAGTGAAGTAATTTGTGTACCGACAAAGAATCCGATACCTATGGAGAGGTAATTTAAGGATCCGGTACTAATGGACATGCCATAACGATCAACCCATAAGATGGGGAAGGTGGAAAGCATGAGGTACATCAGCCCGAAGAGATAGGCCATGTAGCATGCCAGTACTTGGACTATGGGCTGCGTGCCCAGCAGTTTGAATGGCCTCTTCAACGCCGTTTTGATTATGGTTACAACAGTCCGATCGGGAGTGTCGAATGTTGTGCGAAGTTCTTGGTTACCAGTTTCTTTGCGTAGCTTGTCTCGCTTCAACTGGAGAAGCCTAGGCGCATATGTCTCTTGCAGGAAGAAGAATCCACAAAACTGCACCATTGCGGCGAAAATTGTTGTTGCATGGAAATACCATCGCCCTAATCCATTAGTGTGTGTAAAGTAAATAAATCAAATCTGGGCAGAGACGGACATGAAGTGTTCTGGGAGATAAAACCACCAAGAATAGGTCCAACGGCTGGTCCCAGAAGGGGTCCCAGCGAATAAATCGATACTGCTCGTCCACGCTGTTCAGGAAGGAAACAATCGCTTAAAATACCCTAGTAGGATTTTGTCAGACTCTCATGCTGCGGGGAAACATCTCAGGAATTACGCTTACCCCACCGATAGCTAGCGGTCCGGACCCGCCTAGACCACTGAAGAAACGACAAACCATTAGTTGTGCTGGAGTCTGAGAAAACCCGCATCCCAGGTTCCAGACCACAAAGAACAAATTGGATAACTGTAGCACAATTGTTCGTCCATAAATCTCAGAAAGTGGTCCAAGGCACAGTGGGCCGATGGCTTGTGCAAGGACGAAGATAGACAGCGTGAGTTGTGATTGCACTTCATTTTTGATCCGGAAATCAGCGGTTATATGGCTGAGAGCGGGGGCGATCATGGAAGAAGTGATAGGCGATACTATAGTAAAGAAAGCAACAATGGTTAACGCGGCCCATTTCCTCTTCATAGACCCTAAGCAGGAATTAGTACAAAATCGTTCATGTCAACGTGACTAGCCAGTTTTACTTACAGTTCTTTGGGTTTTGTGGGTCATTAGCAGAATCCCATGTCACCTATGTTGTGCTTAGTAGATGTTGTGTTCAGGTGATATTTAAGCGGGCACTTACCAAATTGGCATCCTTTGTAGGAATTGCAGGCTTTTTTTCCAATAGCTGAGACTCTTTGCTGTTTTCTTTGGAAGAAATGAGTCCCCTCAGCTCCTCATGAGACAATTGTTGGTCGGAATTTCCTTCATCTTTGTTTGATTCCTGGTGGTCAACGTCCTGGCCATCTGAGAGTTTCTCTGGGGTTGTCCTGTGTAACAGCGTATCGCATGATTTGTGCGATGGTGTGTTCGATTTGACCAAGAGGGTTTTCAAACCGTTCAATTGACTGGAAGTTTCCATGGGTGTTTAGACAGCGGACAATACTCAAGGTTGCCAATCTTCATGGATATACTTATTGCGAAGGGTTTGTCGTCTGCAAACCTAAAGTAAAGGAGAGCAGTCATTAGAATAGATTTTCCTTTCAGTGAAACTGCGATTAGAATGCAGCCCACGTGCTTGTGGTCGAACGCTCATTGCACAGATCAGACATCTGTGCACCCTACAGCTTGGGCAAGTAATCCGGCCAAAGTTTCGGCACTTCGGGCTAGATCATCCCCCGTGATCTCTAACACTGCTAACCAATTTGCAAGCTATGTATATGAGATAAAAATGCCAAAGAGAAGGTTGTAGTGTATCGGGTTGGTTGTATGGTGATGCCAAGGCCCATACCCACATGACAGGCGAAGTGGGCAAAAATAAAAAGTTGCAAAACAAAAACATACGACAGCGGG